AGCCGGGCGTCTGGGGTCAATAGCCGAGCGGAGTGTGGGTCCCGTGCCGCTTGGTGGTCTGCCTCGGAGCCCTGACGAGAAGTGATGTTCATGGCACAAGGGCGGCTTCCCATAGGGGACAAGGATTAGAGGGTGCTCTGTCTAACCTCTCCCTGGGGGGAGGGAGTAAAAAGGATATTTAATCTGGCCGCACCGCACGCAGGCCCAGCCGTTACCACTGGGCTCCGGTGTGGTGTCTTTGTGGGATTTGTGCGTTCTGTGAATGGTGGTCAGAAGGTTGTTGCCCCCTCCCTGCTCAAAGCAACCCAACAAGGAAAGATACAGTGTGCCAGCCAAAACTGATCAATTTACGGTGGGCGATTCCTGTATTTTTCGTACCGATGCACAACAAAATCCTACAGCATTTTTTGTAGTACACCAGGGGGGTGGCGCAAATGGTCTTTTTTCTGTTTTGTTTTATTCTTTGTCCAACAGGCACTTGACTGGGTTGTATAATAAATGCCATCTGACCTGAAGATCAAGTAGTATCAGTTCCCAGGATTAAGCTACTACTGTATAGTGGGTGTGTTGTGGTCGTGTGGTGTGTGGTGTGTGTGTGTTGTGTGTGTGTTGGTTGTGTGGTTGTGTGGAATAAATGGGCCTTGTGCACTTTTGTTGCTTTTGCATTCATATATGGAAACAGAAGTAATGACAAAGCACCGGTACCACCAGCCCCGAGCCCCCACCTCCACCCCCACCCTCTCTGACCCACCCCTGCACCACAGGGGGAGGTGGAGGAACCCGAGACAGAGAGTGGATGTGAGAGATAAAGCATGAAGAGAGGGAGGAGACGGAGAGGGATGGAGGGAATAGGGGCCAGACTGAAATGAGAATGCAAGAAAAGATGACAGAAGAAATACATTAGTGATTCACAGTGTTCTGGCACTGAAAGGAGCAGAAATACACATACCCTGAAGCTTTGTTCCTTCCCAAAAACACATAAAGCACCTCACACTGTTTTTCCAAAAAAAAAAAAAATAATATGTAGGGTTGTCTGTCATCACAGCTCATGAGATTTATTTACGGTCAGTCTAATTTGTTACTCAGTTGGAAAATAGGGACTAGTATGGTGCTCTGATGAACATAGACGCATTACCCACTGAATAGAAAAACAGCTAGAGAGTAAAAATTATGAAGCTCCTCTTGGGGAGTCCGGGCAAGCCAGTGGCCTGAGGGTGGCAGATGATTAATATTTATGTCACTATCCACACCAGCATACATCAATCAATCACAACCGCCCTCCCGCAAAGGGGTGGGGCAAAAATGATGTGGAAAAAGAGAGATAGTGAGGGCTACAGAGAGGGAGAGAGGGAGCGGAAAGAGAGAAATGGGCTGCTGTCATTTTAAAGGGTTGTGAACAGGTCACCACGCCTTCCACTCTGCAACTGCAGCGCAGGAATTCAGGAACTTTAGCCGGCGTATGCAGGGGCTGGAATTAATGCATGCAAATGTATGAGCGCACATGTGTGGTGTCATATTGATCCCCCCCCCAAAGTACTGAAAGAATGAATGAATGTGTCCAATACCTGCACTTCTCTTAAGGGCAGGATGCATGCAGTGTGCACACCAGATGCCTTTATAGATTGATTATAGATGATCTAATGTTTATTTCAAATCCCAGGATATGATTCTAATTCCAAAAAGCCTTGTGTGTAGCAGGTAGGTATGGGAACGTGCCTCTTCCCTTGAAAACAACAATAAAACATGAAGTTGGCAGAGCAAAAGGATCCAACCAGAGCTGCAACGATTAGTCGACTCTTGTATTGTGGGTATGGTGCATATGCAGGAAGGATGGCGCGGGTGATGCGATACACATTTGCACCAGTGATTTCAAATGATAACACTGATTGACAGGTGGTAATGTGCCAGGAAACGCTGCAATGCATCGACACAAGACAGGAAGAAGACTGCTAGCTTGTGAACATGGATGTAAACAACGCAGGATTTAAAATATTTCAAAGTATATTTGAAACTATTATATGAGGAAGAGAATGCATTCAATATATTTAATAGAACTTTTCACTAAATATAAACTAAACTTGTGTTTGTAGGAGAAGAAAGTTCCACAGGACACCTTTAATGATGATATATTTTACAGTTTACCATTCAAAAAATTAAGTGTTTGATCAGATTTGAATGACAGTGGTCTGCCAACAGAAACAAGCACCAGATTCGGATAAAAATATTGCTAAATCTTGATTGGGGCATGGAAGTACGTGACATTACGCCTTTCCAAATGAACCCTGCTCAGTTCAAACCAGTGAGAAGAGCGTGGAGAAAAACACATAACATTTGTATTTTTTAGATTGGATTATGATTGTCATTTTAAGACATTTTAATGAGCTAATTGAATTGTTTTCAGGAAAAAAAAAACATAAAAGAGACTAATTCCATTCATTCATGCCCACATAGTAGTGGAAATGTGCAGGGTAGTCCATTAAAACTAATCTTAATGGTCACCGTATTGATCAGGATATTAAAGATAAAGCTTGGGATTACAAAAAAGGGTGAGAAAACAGTAAGGAAATACTAGTGTAAGTCAAACTCTCAAGGACTGTCCTTAAAGCAAGTAAAGTTTCTTCTGCTGGGCCGCAGTCCCCTCGCTGTAACTCCAGACTTTGGGGCAAAGTTAGCTGAGCTGCAGTTTTTGAGAATGAAAGGAAAGGAAAAACCGAAACCCAACTCCACGAGGGTCTGCCTGTCTGCTATTGTGGATATTTTTATCTGCCGCGCGTCTAAGGCGGAGACACAGTGGGAAATACGAACCAGCCAACCCAAGCTGACAGTGAGGAGTCAGACTGTCAAGAGGTCTGCTTCCCCCCTCACCACCCCCGCCCACTGCTACAACACCCAAATGGATTGTCATATCAGATTTAGGTGTATAGGTTATTACACCCTTGGGCTCCTGTTTCCAACACACCCGTCTGCATGGCGGGATTGAGTTTGAGGACTCTCTCTTCTTGTTCTCTTTCCTTGGTTCTCAAAGTTCCTGATTTCTTTGATAGAACATAAGAAAGCTCAGGCAACTCCTTTGACAAAGTGATGGGATAATATCTGGAAGATGTGACCTGTTTTAGCTCCTCCTTCATTACCACAAAATTGTGGCTTTGCAGTTGCATCACAAATGAGCTCTATTGGAGCAAATATAGCTAAATACTGGATATGAAACATATAATAACATATCAATGAATCATGAATTTGATCACTTGATATTTTGGTGCTTATGGTTTCTGTAAAATGAACTGAACGACTGAATTGTCGAGAATTGAACTGTTCTAACGATGTGTGGCATCCATATTGACAAAAGTTTAAAAAAACTCGCTCAGGCGGGCAACCCGGTGGGCTTTAAGAGGTTTCATATATCCAAAGACCTATAAAATCCAGACCAGGCCTCTAATTGAGACCAGTGTTTATTTGTCTAAACGTGTAGTCACGCCAGGCTAGTAAAGGAGGCCTGCTTCCAGTTGGGACCCTGCTTTTAATTAAAGTTTGAATAATTATGATATGCCTGGTACGGCCATAGGTCTGTTTGGGGACATCTAATCCAGTCGATTTCTACCCAAAAAGTTCTGACTGTGAAGCAGTAAATTATTTTTTGCCCTTGTGTGCAGGACCAATCAGTGTACAGTATTTCACTTGATAGTTATTTACTTCAGAGAAAAGAAAACCGGATTCATCAGGCCTGCAGAATATGCTTACACACTTGCATCGTTTAAGCATATTCGTGTCTCTTTGGTGAAGCTTTCTTTTAACACTTCTCTGAAAGTGAATCATGCATGCAAGGACAAACCAATTCCTGACTTTGCATTTGCTGGCTTTAATTAACATTTCTACAAATCAGTGCAAAATATGTCCTGTCGTCTCTTACAATGCAGGCTAGTGGCCCCACCCATCCCCCACTCTCAGTATCTGTTGAACTGTTATTTTGTGTCTGTCTAGATGGAGTTGTTCATTGCTTCTTTCTTGGTACTCTTTTCCAGTAAGCTTGCTGCTTACTGACGTGGTTATTGTCGATATCATACGAAGAGTTGCGACTTCTCATCATGGCAGTTGACACAGTGTGGCTATGCAAGTATTTTAGGACATTTTGAGGTGCGTTTGTTAAAGGTTCTCAGTGTCTCCATGAGTGGGTCCCTGTTTTGTTTGTTGACGCACGTGGGTGACGTGGTACATACTGCCAGTGGTCCCACACATAACATTTCACTCATTAAAAGGTGGCGGTAACACACCAAAATATGAAGCAATGTGCGTGATAAAGCAGGGAAGAAGAAGACTGCAAGCTAGTAAAACAATTCTGGATTACAAATACTTCCAAAATAAATGAAACACATTTGTTAGAGCTCAAGAATACACACAATGTTTTTTTAATGAGAAACACTGAATATTAATGTAACTTTTGCTTGTTTACAAGAAAACTCTGCAGGCGTCCTTCAATACCACAACATCCACAAGTATCAAATGAAAATGCAAAGACATAACAAGAAAAGCAGTCGGCTTAACAAATCTGGTCCATTCAGTCGGGATCGAAAAAACTTCTTTTCTTCTAGCACACTTGCTTTTTACCCTTTAAAGGAAAGACACTAAACGCTTTCACATCCCTCGACTCTGTTCTGAAGTAACTGCATCTATCCCAATTGACGAGTTTGTTGAATCAATTAAATGCTTCAGCAGTCTAGTGAGAGTGTACAAATCAAAGCTAAGGGAACAATAATATTTGATTAACACTACAAGGATGGACGGTAATGCTGACTAAGAGCGCTGTTATGAAATAATTAAGTTTGTTGTTATGAGAATTCCCAGGCGAATGGTTTCAACGATAAAATATCATCGCTTTTTTTCCACGTGCGGCTGTGAGGAAACAAACATGTCAGGATGTGTTGCTCCACCATGTCTCCTAACAACCAACCACACTCCATCTGTGCTGAACTCCCCTCAGCATCCTACACACACCAAGGAAAACTACGAGTATGGTGCATGTAGACTCCTTTTTAGATTTATTACAAAAGAAATAGACACAAAATAGCATCAGATAGCTATCCATAGAGACACCAATCACTGACAATGCTGCTCGACCGAAGAAAAACTATTGATTGCAAGCAATTGTTGTTTACCCACATGTCTATAGGATGATGAAAGGGGATACTCTGAATGCAGGTGGGCTCAAGTGTGTTTATATGTGTGTCTCTTGTAAGACAGCAAAGACATCAGTGCTGCCAAGTGACCTGCTTTCACTTTGTTTTATTTGATCAGATTGTGGCTAAACAGAGATTTTCATGTACTCTCCACATAAAGCCACATATAAATGATGACTACATGAGAGGAACAAACTGGAGTTAGCTCTGATATTGATGGAACAAGTAATCTGTAGGGCAGGGGTTGTTCCCTCTGTTACCCTTGTTCAGTGGCTCTGGTTTTATTCCTAGGGCAAAGTACTATTCATTGAGAAGAACAGAGTGATTGAAATAACAACCTCAGTTCATCATCTGACTTTGAAGCGGCGCTGACAGGCAGAGTCGTGTTATTTAGCCAGATTTTTGAATCTAGTTTGGTTTGGCGTTTGCTCCATGCAGGACACAGAGGACACACGGGTCGTTTGAGCAGGGTTACCTTGCAGTGTTGAGTAAAGGGTGTCGAGTCCCGACCAGCTTCCTGACGTGCATGGCAACATTACTGAATTCATCACTGAGCAGGCAGCGAAGACTCATGAAGGAGGTCGGATACCCGACGATCTTCTCTGCGTCGGAGACCACTTTAGTCCAGTCTGAAGGTCCCGAGCTGGAGAACAGACTCAGCGTCCTCTGTCCCCGGCAGGACAAAGCCCTGTGGCACAGCCGCGACCATGTAGCTGGAAGCATTTTCTCTCTGACTGTAATGTTTTCTAGTTTGTGACAGCTGCTTCAAGTGCCATTCAGCTACTCGCCACCATCTTTAAATTCCCTCACCAGATTGAGCCGCTAACGCTGTGACATGTCCGCAAACAGTGGCGCAGCCGTGTTATTTATAAACCTATACTGTGCTACTCTAAAAGATCTAACATAAAGACACTGTTTGAATAACTAGCTCTGTTTCACAACACACGACCTGACACTGTGAGCTGCCATCTTGAAACACGTAATACGTTACGTCGAGAAACGTAATGACGTTCGTAGGTCGGTCACATTCCGATACGCCCCGTTCTGAGGAGAGCACTTCCGGCTGAACTCCATTAGGAGTCAGATAGTTTTCCATTGCCTTGTTTCCACACTGATGGAATAAAATACAGCTTTACTCTCCGCTGCTTCATGCAGCAAGTAAAAGATTTACAAAGCCTCACTTTAGCTGAGTCAAATATAAACTTCTACAGTTGGGTCACACCTGGTCCACCACTGGAAACAATGGCACGATGTGATTGTGGAAATACCAAGTGTGTTAGTTCTTCTTCTTTTAGAAGTCTCTCCAGTTGTGAAGCATTAAAAACATTCATTCGCCACCAACAACCAGGGGCCACCCACAGGGGCCATCCCAGTCCAGTACCTGTAGCTCCCTCAAGTCTTACTACTGAGTTCAGTGAGATGATGAACATTTTAAATGTTTATATTTTCTTGGTAAATTACCTAATATAAAGCTGTAAATATTAAAAAATATATCATTTTTAAGTTTGAATCTGTTTAAACCGCTAAATGTGTCCATTAAAAAGGCAATCACTAAATTCTGTTTGATTCTGTTGATTAGCCTTAAAAATAAACTGTAAGTTAATACAACATTTCAGAGATGGGCTGACATAAAGATTATTGCTTGAATTGTTAGATAAGATAAGAATACCAATAAAATAAGCAAAACCTTTATTCGTCCCCACATGGGAAATTGCAGTTTGCAACAGCATACAGAAAGAGCAGATTAAAAAATAACAAGAGCACAAAGAGTTTGTAATACATGAAGATATAGGCCCAATAATGTAAACATTAGCAAAATATAAAATGTAAATTTACCTGCAGGCTATCCAGGAGGGGATTGATATAAAAAAGTACCAGCGGTCTCAAACAGCATCTACGGTACAGTAATGTAAGGGCCCATCTGCTTTGTATTTGCTGTGGATGTTATTATTCTCACATTTGCAACACCAACCTGTGATTTGATCCATTTGTAATGTTTGATCATTAAAGAACATCACTTGTGGTTTTCTTCAGTTACTGTAGGAGACCTTAATGTAATGTTAATGTTTATTCGGATCTTTTTCTGATAGATGAAGAGTCAGTACTGCATCAGAGTTTGGTTTTAATCTAACTGACGCTGAAACATCAGTTACATTTTCTCACTGCTTTTGTCAAATAATTCTAAAATACAGGGACAGCTGCATGTTTCATATTAAGTCTGATTACTGAAAATCAAGAACAGGCTTAGTGAGATTTTACGCCAATGTGGAAACAGTTTTGGATTAGATCTGTCTTAGTTCTTGTCTCATTTCATTATGTCTTTCTGTTGCGGCAAAATAACAAAACCTCAAATAATAATAATAAAAGAAAATATCCATTTAAACTAAACTGTTTAAATTGTGAAAAAAAAATTGCCCGCTCATGTTTCAGTTCATGTAATACAATCCTTGTGACAATATAATAGTTGCCCAGTATGATAGGGAAATGCCCCGGCAGCGTTAGGTTTAACAATGCTTTCATTGAATCCTACTCCATCTGCTTATTACTGGACTGGAGGGAAAGTCTGTCAAGGACAGCTTACATAACATGGAGCTGCAGTCTCCCTTGCTGAATACACTTACAAAACAAACACATATACTGTTTATTCATGTATTATATGCTCAAGGAGAAATGTTATTTAACTCGGTATTGATCTATATGCTCTCAGCATCATACTGTCGTAACTGGGGAAATAGCTAAAGTCTGTTTTTAGAAATATATGTTACAACAATATTTAGTTTTAGCACCAAATTGCCCAATCCAATCAACACATTATAAAAAAACCCCAAAAGTTATTTCTTATTCATACTGCTACTGCTTTTAGAGACTCATCAAGCATTGCAGTTATATTACAGTAAACCAAACTGCTGTATTGGAGGGACGGCTTAAAGAAGGAATCTTGGAATGCAGGTGAGCTGCTGGTTTGCAAGAGCAGCACTGTAACACACGAGTCGTCTCACCCTGACCCTGCATCATGGTTCACAGCTCCTGTTCCCGCTGATTTTCCAGCTCAAATGGGGTGTCACAATGCCATGAGCAGCATCCCTCGGCGCTGTCAGTGGCTTTCCACCTGCCAACTCATTGTAATTCCAGAGAAAGTCAGGGGACAGCATGTAGCACACAGTTGAAACAGGTAAAATCATTTATCAAAGGGATATGGATCTGTTTCATATGCCAGTAATTATCCTATTTTGCATAAACTAAGTGGCCCCTACCTGAATAATTCCACTGTAAAACATGAGCTCTGCAAAAGCATCAGCAAATTAAAACATATAGTAGATGTACAGTATGCACGTGAATGTATATGTGCCAATGTGGCCGCATTTTGACCAGGACCCTGGTACTAGCTTGTTTTTAATGTTATCACTTACACCTGTGCTTTTCCTGTAATATCTGCTGTATAAAGGGTCTATATCATCTGTAAATTGTCCTTGTCAGACAGGCAGGCTGTGAAAACAATTTCCCCCTAGGGACAATAAAGACTGTGTACTGTCTAAATGACCTGCTATTATTTATCTGAATAATTGTTTAGTAAAAGAATGGATAAATGGACTGTACTTGTATAGCCTTTCTAGTCTTCTGACCACTCAGAGCTCTTTTACACTAGATGCCAAACATGCATCACAAACAGGAACTAATCCATTCATTCACATTCACGCTCCAATGCACAGCATTGGGAGCAATTCGGAGTTCAGTGTCTTGCTCAAGGATACAGCAGCCAGAGGAACCAGGGATCAAACCGCATCAAATCTAACCTTATGGTTAGTGGACGACCTGCTCTACCGCCTGAGCCACAGCCACCCCTATGGCTGACTGTTATGGTACAACCCCAGTTTTTGTCTTTTAACCTTCAAATGAAATGGTGATGTTCATGTTCAGGTTATAATAGATCATTCCAGTAATGCGAGAAAATAAACATTCAGTTATTAACAGTTTTTATAATACCTTTTTATTTAAACCATTGGAGTAAAGCGCCCAGTTATTTGGGAATGTGTTGAAAGTGACAAATTGCACAATTGCTTAAATGCTCTAAGGTTGCGTTCAGACAGCAGGCCAGAGTAACCCAAATCAGACTTTTTTTGCCCATATGGGACTTACTGATCTTTTCAATTCTGATTTGGACCGCCAGAAAGTGGCCCAGGTCTGATTTTGTGTGACCTCAGTGTGAAGAGTCATTTCAGAATTCCTGTGATTTTTATGTCATTCTAGACTAGACTGCATTCGTCATGACATGTTCACACTGGAATCTGATTTAGACCACATTTTAAATCAGAAATGAGCGCTAAGGCTTGCAGTTTGAACGTAGCCATAGTGTGATGTCTTGGCTTTGAACCTGGCCTATATGAGAGCTTTGCTGCATCTTAGTCCTCAGTCTTCTTTGTCTGTCACAAGGCTGAAAATGACTATGGGACTACAACTATGGGATCCCTGCAAACATTTTTAATTAGGATAAATGTTGACGCAACTACAGTACCAAAATGAAACCTGAGACACATGTAGGCTTATTTGTGCCATGCACGTTGTCACCTGAGGGAACAACCTAAGGGAGACGATGCAACACTCAAGGCAAAGAAGAAACTTTATTTTGAAGATCCCCTCCAGACATGTGTTAAGACAAATCCCAGAATCTATGAATATGCACATTGTGTTCATTTCTGAAGTTTTCCTGCTGGACATAAGATGTCTCCTACTTCACTGTAAAGTCCATTCTTACTGGATGTGCACTGGTGGATCACACTGTAGAAGTTGCATACTCGACCAGGGTTGACTTCCAAACTATTTGTGATGTCACAAATCATGCCCATGAAAATCAATGAGCACAGAGAAACTTTCAACTTTCAGCAGATGAATGTGAAAACATCCTTCTAGAGTCAAACTCTGCACAGACAGCATTCAAACAGCACACTGTAGGGACAAGAAGAAACACT